TATCTGCAATGTGTGCGCAGATGCACATGCACACATTTTTAAACAAAAAAAAACTGTAGGAGTACCTCTTCCACATTTCTGTAATGCACAAGAACAATGTGCTGTAAATGCCTGCGAACAAAGAAAACAGGTATTTATTGGCCAACAATAACTTATTCTTATGGCTTGAAGATATATTGAGATTGCAATTTTAAACATCAGTTCTTGGGCATGAATGATTTATTTATTTTATTTTTTATTTTTTTTTCCAGAGGGGTGGTTAATGGAATTTATGCAACCTAGTCGAAACTTAATTTACAGCTTTGAATAGAAAACTCACGTGTCAAGCATCCAATAACTCCGCCGTTGAAAATTTGCATTGTCCTCCCCATGGGCATAGTAACAATGAAGTACGTCTACACTGCCAGCCTAAAAAACGTCAAAAACCAACAGAGAGCTAAATATCAAGTAGTACCAATACCAAGGACCATACAAGCCAAAATAATTGAAGCGACTAAACTCACTACAGAAGAAAGTTTATCATTTTTCCAATGCACATAAATTGAAAAGGTCAAATCATAGCTAACAAAAGCCTTGAATATAAAAATTTGAGCACCAGAAAGACAAACTTAGTGATATTTAAATGGATAAAGGGAGAAGAAACTAAACAACCTTTTACATTATCCTATTAAAAGAACAAATGAAAACAAAAAAGAATGTTTAAACACGGGGATAAAAGAACCTAAATGACCACCAGCTTCCAAAGTAGATAAATTAAGAATTTACCATTTGTGTCACATTTGCAACACCCAGCACTGGATTCAGAGAAAAAATTGTTATTCTTTATAAGTTTTATTTTCTTAAAAACTAAGGGTGCTCAAGTGACCCGAAATTAAGGTCTACCATAGAGACATTCAATGCTCAATGAACTCTGAACAGTTGAAAGCAATAATCATAACATATAACCCATGGATGCTCTACTTACTTTGATCTTTGCAATTACAAAATAGAATTATGAATATTGATCCATCACTTCTGTGGTATCTATGTTACCTGCAAACTACGACCACCAAAAGACAGAGGATCCGGGTACAAAAGACATCAACCAGACAACGACTCAACCCTATCTCTTAGACCAACCCCTAAAGGTGTACTTACTAATAATAGATTGAACAGCACACCTTCAACTTTTCATGGGCTTCTTTTACAGTCTTTCCATCCCTTTTCTTCCTCCAGCGATGACCGTCTTTACGAAAATATCGAAGTGCTTTTCGATCAAACAGGTACAAAGAACCAGCTGTAAAAAACGAACATAATTTAGCTTCTGTTTGCATATACCAAGAAAGAATACCAGTGATCCATCTGAAGTAACAAATGCCCAATGACCAATGATCATATGGGATGATTCTAGGCATACAATGGGAAAGGAAGAATTAGATAATTAAATGAAGAAATTTAAGATATGACATGTGGAATACTGCATTATGTATATGAGAAACAGAAAATACCAGTCCAACTGTGTCACATCTTAACCCGTATTAAATAGTAAAAATAATGATAATTGAGCAATTAACGAGTGCTTTAAACATAACAGGGAATGATGTTTGAAAAGAAAATAACAGAATGTGCAACCCCAGGGAAAACAAAAAAAGAAATGTTTCATCAACCAAAAAATGTTTCATCAACCAAACAATGTTTCTTATGGCAGTATCTGGCTTTCTCATATTGTACAAGTAAATGAAGCACACCTCCGAAAAATTCATAAAATGGTTTTCCTACTTTAACTAGAAAATAAGTAAAACCAAAGAAAAAATATAACAGCCCAACTGACTGAAGATAGAACTTAACAAATTCAGACAAAATACAGAGTCATCAAGAACAAACTATTCAAATGTAGTCATTCAGAAAACAAACATGCAAGGGTCAACCTGGAGGCCTGACGGGTGGATCTGTGGTCAATTCAAAATGCCGATAGTTGCGAAGTATTTCACAAATTTCAGCTGGACGAAGCCAACGGTTCTTTGCTTCTTGCAATATCTGGGCAAGGTCTGTCAAATTCCCAAAAGTACCAACAGATTAAAAAATCATAAAAACTAAAGTAATAAAAACAAATACAGGGGAAGAATCGAAGCCGAGCAACTACTTCGACATAAACAAACACTTTCGGAATCCCAATTTCATAAGCAAATACACTTGATGCACCTGAGAAATGTGACACAGAGACGACACAACTCAATGCACTTACAATGCAATACAAGATTACTTCCGGCGTTTGCAATAGCATTCCATCACAAGATTACTCACTCAGTTAATCCATCCACACTAATTCTTTCATCAAATGTGAAAAATTGAAAGTACTACACGCATGCATGAAGTGTTAATCAATGATCACGCCCAATAATTATTCCAATAAACAAAAAAAATCACAGCCATTCGTGAAAACAACTATTGTCGAGTTAAATATTGAAAAAAAAATTGAAAAATCCGACTTTTAAACCAAAAAACATAAAAGAAAATTGACAGAACAAAACTTGAAATGAAGAAAGAGAAGAGGGAGAGAAAGCCGACCTAGATGCTGATTGGGGGCGTATCTCCTGGTATCAGCCATGACGAGCTCGCATAAACCCTAGATTTCATGAGACAGACGCAGAGAGAGACTGTGATTACCACCACCAATCCAGACAGAACAAAACGCAAAACCAAAATACATCTCCAGAAATTGCAGAAAATCAATTTCTGCTCTGTTCGCAAACAAAATCGAAAAACAAGAACCGAAAGGAAGAAATGGCGGATGCTTTCAGGCAATCAGTCGAGAGAGAGGGAGGGAGGGACTGGGGAATGAGGTTTCGGTTAAAGAAACGTACCTTGGCAGGGGGAGAGAGAGAGACAGAGGGAAAGCGAAGCGTGTGAAAAGCACTAATAAAAAAAAAGAAAGAGAAACGAATCGGGGGAAGGGAGAGAGAAAGATAGGGATTGGAAGTCAATGTGGAATGGCTTTGCGTTCACACTAATCCGACGTGTTCTTTGGTTTTCGCACGCCGCGTGTTATTTGTATTATCCACGCTTATTTTTATTTCTCACATTATTTTCTCAATTTTTAATCGTCAGAATGAATGAATTAAAGAAAATCAAAAGATAAAAATTAACAAGAGTGTTTAGGTCGTAAAAATAGATATGTGAATAGTACCACCCTTATATAATTAGATGGACACTTCAAAGAATTCTCTTTAATTATGTAATGATATGCAGCGTACAACTCCATTTTCTTGACGCACTAAACAATTGCTCATTTTTATAGGTATACATCTATCAGATTCCTATTTACTTTCAGAAATTGATTGTCACACTTTCATTTTTATTTTCGACTATTAATTACATAAAAATAACAAACATAATTAAAAAAGAATTAGTATAAAGATTAAAATGTGTCTTATTATCTCCTTTTACTCTCGTATCAGCATTGGTTTCTGCAATTTTTAGCTGAACAAATTTTGTTTCGAAGTTTATTAGAAACTTTTGTTTGGTGATGATACATTGTCCTGTGGTATGAAAATCTTCACACCACTCCTGTTATCTCATAGCTTAAAAGTGATTAGATTTTAAAAGTAATCTTATCACTTTTAAGATATGAAATAATAGGAGTTCACTTTACGAATTCGAGGATTTAAAAGGTGGTTAGTCTAGCTTTAACAAGAAGTGAAGTGATAATGAATTTTCAACTCTCTCGTTTATTTCACACCGTCAAAAGAGTTTTACTACGTTGAAATTTGAATATTGAATCGAAATGGAATATCTTATTGGTAATTTTATTTTTCTGTTTTTCAAATCTTGTGTGCTTTTATAATTACAATGTTTGAATTGAGAAAAAACAAGGAAATAATAGTACGAAGATTGAGTGCGTGTCATTTCTAACTAGAAAGAAAAGGGAATGCTATAGTTCAACGAAGATTCGTTAGACATAAAGAGGTTAGACATAAGGGGGTGGGAAAAAAAATAGTCATTGTCTTCATTAAGTATTAGGTAGATGAGCATCTGGATCGAGTTTGATTAGTGGTAATATCTTGTCACTTTCAAATTTGCGTCTTAATTCATAAAAAAATTATCGACTAGCTCTTAAATCTAAGGAGTTTTAACGAAAAGCTCACGGTACTGTTAACTTTAACAAAAAAACCACATTTTTACACTAAAAAATCAATATTGGTATTATTCACTTTACCCTTTATTTTGTCCTTATAGTTAAAACTCAAAGTTTTCAAGTTATTTTTATTAATTTTCCTTTTAATCTAACGGTACTTATTTTTCAATGCTGAAAGAGGTGACAACTTCGAAACCTCTCACCAAAAGCTAGCTCTTAATCTGCCCTTTATTGTTATGTTAACTCCCGTTTCACAGGATTGAGAGTTGATTCCGTTCTAATTCCTCGTGAGAGAATTCGCCTCGTCATCAATTCTATATCCCTTTGATATGTATCACTCATCACGTGATAAATGCTAATAAGTAAACACGAGGATCCGGTGATGGCAAAAATTCTCACTCCATTTATTTCAATTTCTTCACATGCTCTCTACTTGTAGGTTACAAACCAAAAAGTCTTAAAGCGAAAAACCAAACCTAACAAGTCACTGTCAATTCCACCAGATCTTGTAACTGACAACTCAACTGCTAGCGAAGATAAGAACATGCTGTTAACTGAAAATTCAACTGTAGCGGCTTAATCGTGACTGTTTAAATAGGAAAGGAGGGGAGGGAAGGAAAAAAAGAGGAGAGAGAATCCTACTCCAAATAAAATGCCCGTATCACAAGCCACGACTGCAAGTTGCGGCAGTTATGGGTTAGGGCAGCCATGGCTCCCCTGTACCGTAAACCTCAGCTAAATTTTGGGCATTCCATTGACTACTGAGTCGGTTTTTTCCGCTCTTGTTAACCGAGTAGTAACTACGGAAACTCATCTCAAGTAAGAAACCAAACCAGCACACAGTTTCGTATAAAATTTTTGTCCACTGTCAAAATCATGTAGAAAATAATGAAATCCTTCACCGTACATTGTTTAGTGTTCCCAGTTTCAATATATTAACTTCAAGATATCAAAGAATTGCAGATAAGTTATGATGAATTATACGCTCGGCTTATGGTCCAGCATTATACAGACAACATAGTAGAAGCTATAATCTTCAGTTTCAATACATGTAATGATACAGAGACAGGGAAAGGAATCGTACGAGGTTGAAGATTCTCGTCTTCCTCCATCGACTGACAGTTCATGCTTAAGGCCTGGCTTACAAAGAATCATCCTGACCAAAAGAGAAGGGAAATGAAATCAAATCATAGTCACATGTACACCTCAAACCTATCTTAAAGAACTTAACTTCTCTCATGCCTGTGTGTACACAAAACTAAAGAATAGATTCCCGAAAGGTGTTCTGGAAAGCCACGTCTTTTATGTTAGTAATAAGCAACTGAAAAGCAATTTCTAAAGTGCTAAGATAGGAAATTTCTTTCTACCAACCTTCGTACAAACGTAAATATAATGGACATCAGGGTTGTTTCCCAGCAATTCCTCCGTTGAGCTTCCATCATCATTTAGCGGAACAGGATTTGTCAGATCCCAAATTGGAGGTTCTGATTTATCTTCGCAGGAAAGTTTCTCTGCATACATGGTACAGAGAAATCAACAGTCAATATCTAACCAAAAGAACAAACGTCACAAAACATTTTTATTGCTAAACGACATTACAAGTGAAGTTAGGACTTAATCAAAACCTATGACATGGAGTTTTATCATCCACGAGCATGACTCTCTCAACAAACGCAAACGATACAACGGGGCACCATATGTGATCTGCAGCAGCATGTTTGAGACAAGTTATGGATACACACAAAATGCAAAACAAGAATACGAAAAAAGAGGGCGGGCGGGCTGGCTGGAAGAGGGAAGGGAAGGTATATTGAAATCATTGACAGAGAATAAAAGAGTACGCAACATTACCAGAATGTAGACTCCTTTATCCTTGAGGACCCTATAATTTGTATCAACTGCTTCAATATATGGTGAACGAAATCAAGAAAATAAACAAAACCAAAAGCTTAGAACAATTCCATTTACTGATTAAACAGTCTTAACGCACCTCCAAACTTCCTCAAGCATCTCTGTAGAATTTTTCCGCGAATTACTTCCGCACTAGGCACAAAAAAAATCAATACAACAGAAAAATAAATAAAAATTCTCAACAAAGATAAAACAAACAAGAACGAAGCAGACGGGTTATCAGCCCTTACCAAAAGAGAGTCTAGAGTTCCTGCGAGAAAAAAATCAAAACAAGCAAAATCAGCATTATTTCGCAAAAATGAATTTTCAATTATGTTTAGACGGCAATGTTAAATTGTAACAAATGCAGAGGTAGACATGGGAGTAGCCACATTGCCTAAAGGGGAAGTGCTACCGAGTTCCAATAATATTAACAGTTTAGATTAGTTTAAAGTAGAATATCGCTCATAACAAACAAAATGTATCTGAAAATATAATTAACAAATTAAGATTAGACGAAAAATGAAGTACCTTTGTCAACAACTGCATCAAAGGAAGCAGTTTCGAAAGCACTCATATCTCGAACATCCATTTGCAAATCTAATTAATTATTAATAAACAAAATTAATAGAAAAATAACCATAATACAAATAAACAAGCCATAAAAACATCAAATTTAAATGATAAAAAACATACGTACATTTGAGATGTGGACGATTCGAGTACTTGCTCTGCATAGCTTGGATGACCACAGACGAAATGTCAATACTAACCACCTCCTCGTACCCATCATCAGCCATCCCCTCGCTAAACGCTGCGTTTTGGAAAGCAAATCCTTTTAAGCGTGAATCAAATGGGAGATCCGATCGGGTGAGTGCGGGTCCAGGGAGAAGGCAGAGCACGTACCTGAGTTGCCGCAGCCGACGACAAGGATGCGGTTGCGTTGGTTGGGATGGCGAGGGACATAGAGATTGATCAGCGGAGCCAGAGATTGGTATTTTTGGTACCAATCGAACGGCCCTGATTCGTTGGCGTAGCGGTTGTCCCAGTACCACGGCTCGCCGTACGCCTGCGTCGTCGTCGTCGTTCCCATCGTCATCTCTCTCTCTCTCACGGAGTCTTCAATGTTGGTTTGTTCTTCAATCTTCGGTTGGTTTCCATTTTGGGTTTGTCGTTGATGCGCTCGCGCGTGATGCTATGATTGCACATGCGCATTATTGTCATTTCCCCTAAGCAGCTTCCTGAGATTGCCACGTGCCCGAGGGTTTAAGTTTGGAAGGGGGAGTGACATTATACTTAAATGTGGCCTCTTTTGCTTGTAACTCACGAATGCGTTTTAACTTTTTTTCACATGAAAATATATTTTATTAAAGAGTAATATTAAAAAAATTAAATTTATAAAGAAAATTTTGGAAATTAAAAGATATGGAAGTTGATGATTGGTTTATTACTTAAACGTTGATAAATGAGCTTCGTATGTAATTTTAAGAACTGTTTGGTATCCTATTTGAAATTTTTTATCATTTCTCAAAACATTTCTTGAAAACAATTTTTTTAAGACTCAAAATTTTGGTTGGTTTGCAATTTAAAATTTTTAAATCTTACAACTTAAACTAGACAAACAAATCTAAAAAGAGGGGTCGCAAGAGGGGAGAAAGAGGAGAGATGAGGAAAGAAAGTAAGAGATGATTGAAGGAAAGAGAAAAAAGAAAGAGGATCGAACAAGATAGAGAGGAAGAGGAGTGAAAGAAAGAATCGAGATATTGAAGAGAACGGATTGGAAGAGAGACGAAAAAGGTAAAAAAAAAAAAAAAAAAAAAAGGAGAGAGAAATAAGAAAAGAGAGAGAGATAGATTTGGAGTGAGAGGGGAGCAGGGAGAGAAAAAAATTAAGTGAGTTTAAGTTTAAAAACTCTAAAACTCATTTTTTTTGTTTTTAGAAAATATACTATATTTTTTAGTTAGTCTTGAATTCAGTTTTTGAAAATAATCCTACCAAATAAGTTTTTAAGGCCTAAAACTTGAAAATCATTTTTGAATTTAAAAAGTTGGATTCAAGTAGAATACCAAATAGACCCTTAATCTCCAAATGTAGTTTTTCTAGCATTACCCTTTATTAAATTGCAATGTAATTATGATGCCTTGTGTTTCTACATGAAATAAAGTTACAAGGCAGGTCATGGTTCGGTCATTGTAGTTTCATCCAAATTATGATACACTTGTTGTTTTAGTGAAGTTTGATCTTCGAAATCATGTCTTCTTTTACATGTCAGCTTTGACATTTCAATTGAAGTAAAATAGTATGTTATTTGTTATTTTTATATTTTTATGTAACATTTTTTATATCTCCTTTAAAGATGTTGTTGTGCATGCCTCTCACTAGCTAATTTGATTAGAGTATGGCGAAATTAAACTAGAGTGATATGAGTCTTACTACATACTTGTATTATGTGACAAATAATATGTGAAACATGATATAAATCAATGACAATCCCCTTTCATGAAGGTATTTTTTAAAGGGTAATGTTAGGGAAACCGAATTTTTGCAAACTAAATTACGTGTCACCAATAAGAAACAAGCACGTTAATTGACATTTAATTAATAATCTAATCATCTACAATCACATCATTTAATTTAAAAAATTTGGTCTCTCTAACATTACCTTTTTCAAATAAGCTTAATTGATAGAATTTTTGTAGAGTCTACTTCACGTATTTCAACAATTCAACCTTCATTCTTTAGATATTTCCTCAAACATTATATCTAAAAAAAAATATTCTGTAAATATCCAAAACCGAAACCATGCAGTCAAATAATTGTTTTTTTTCAAACTATATTAATTTATTTCTTCACTACAATTAAATATCTTTAAAATTTTGAATTTGTCTAATCTATTTATAAATAGTTTATGAATAATGTACTAAAATATAGACGGTTTGAATTGTTGAAAAAATTTATAAAATAAACACTATAAGGTATTCCTCAGGTAATCTCTCAATGGAAGGGGAACTCTAATAAATGATTTGATCTTATTAAATATTGATCGAACATATGACATGTGACATGTCACTTCATCTAGTAGTAGGAGGGTAATTTTTGTGAGAATGTGAAGGTAAAAGAGTTATATATTGGTGAAAAGATAAACCTTGTAAGGGCTTATAAAAGGTTGAGCTACTCGTTATATTGCCAATTAGATTTATGATGGAACCTCAACTTTCTTCAACTTTGCTAGAACTACATAACTTTGGGTGTATTACTAGATATTCTCCTTTGAAGTTTGGTTGCTTCCTGTGTTTTGGGGACAAACACTGGAGTGATGGACGTAACCAGCCAGTTGCAAGAAAAGGTGAACACGATCGCGACAATTGCCTTCACCACCATCAGAATGCTGCAACGGGATGCACCTCCAATCTGAATCTCCCCCAATTACCCGGAAGCCAGACCCGCACCAGCTCCGGATCTCAATCCCAATCAAAACCTGACTCTGGACAGTGACACAGAGTTCGCAAAGCAACCCAAGCTCATGAGTGCTGATCTAGTGAAAGCATAAGGTCATCTCCAACTGAAGAAGGGCCATAGGGCTTTCTTTAGCCCTATAGCCCTCCAATAAATTAATATTTTAATGAACAGTGCCATGCTATATTTCTTATCATCTCCAACTAAGGGGGCCAAAGGGCCATAAACCAAATATAGCCCTATAACGAAAAACCATGCCCAAAAGGCCATATGCCAAACATAATTTATTATTTTAATTGAATTAATATGGTTACTTAAATTAAACTAACTCAATAATTTTTCGGATAAATTGAACTCCATCATGATGTCGAGATAAATTGAACTCCATCATGATGTTGTGCATCATATTACACACACATGATTGTGGAGGATGAGCGAGATGACTATATTGATGGAGAGTCTAATAATGACTAAGATGATCCAAATAGGTTAAGGAGGGCTTGTGCAAAAATATATGAGCCTAATTTGCCTTTGGATCCAAGAACTAGTAATATCTCTTTAAATAAGTACATGAGGCGCCATAAGATGGTACGTTCGCGTGCCACAAACAAGTACCTACAATATGATATTGTTACACATCTTTGGGCCAAAAGAAGCATGAGGGAGGCGTTTAAGTTTTATGTTGTTAAATGTTTTTTTTTCCGTGTTGTTTAAGTTTGAGTAACTCCCCCAAGTAATACCAGGGTGGATATTGTGTTGTTTAATGTTGTTTAAGTTTAATGTTTTTTAATATTGTTTAATGTTGTTTAGTATTTTTTTAATGTTGTTTAATGGTTTGGGTAGTTATAGAAAAAAAATTAGAATTATTATTATTATTTTCTTAATTTTGTCCCAAAAAAAAATTTCTAATGCTGATGTCAGGTAGCTGTGGGTTTGAATTTTGGGCTGACTCAGGATTGGTTAGCTGGTTGGTTCGGGGCAGTTGGTTGGCGTGATTGCACAATTTTGCTCTGGTGGGCCCCACGAGCCCTTTGGCCTAACCCTCGATTTAAGACGGTTTTTGTGTCATTTCGGACTATTCTTAGCCTTATGGCTCTCTGGCCGGATGGTCTAAACATGTCGGCTTTGAGTTTGATGACGTGACATCTGATTTGTTTTTTATTGATTAAATTTAATTCCATGGATATCACTGGTGAAATTAGATGCATTGGTGGCGGCGCTGCCGTTGTCGGAGGGAGGCGAGGAAGCTCAGTTGAAGAGGATTGCTCACTTGCAGGCCGAGAACGACGCCGTGGGCCAACAACTTGAGAAGCAACTGGAAGCAGCAGGTCAGTCTTCCGAGAAATATGTGCAAATAGAACATGTTACAATTTAATTGGATGGTTTCATTTGTTGGGTGAGGTAACTTTTTTTGTTTTATTGGCAGAGAGAGAATTGCAAGAGGTGAGAGAGTTGTTTGGAGAAGCAGCAGATCATTATTTGAACAAGAACAAATCGGATTGAAAAACTAATGTTCCTTCCCTGTAGTTTCTTTGGAAATTTGCCACTGTGATTTACAGTTTCTATTTTAACCAGCAGTTAGTGACACTATGGATATTGTGCAATTCCCCATTTTAACCCCTTATATATATATATATATATTTTTTTTTTTTTTTTTGGTCAAACATAAATTTCAGTGATACAAGAAGATATTACAGATGTTACATGAGATAAACATAAAAACAAGTTGCTACGCCAAAAAAGACAAAGAAGTCCAAACAAAGCACATGATGATCGAATCAGACTCAGTCCGTTAACATAAATTGTCACCATTAGAGTCACCTTTTTATGTTATGACTGTATATTAGAGCATTGCCACCCATGTAACATGCTAATAAACCCAAAATCCACTCCAAACCCCCTTCACCCATCTCTTCCCAGCCATGGCTGGTTGAGCTTGGCAGCAGCCATGGCAATTCTAGCCCCAATTCCCGCTCAACGACAATTACCATTCACAATTAGTGGGGTGTGACATAATTGTAACGACTTATTCTAAATTAAATTCATCCGTTTAATAATTAGTGAATAGTAACTATCATGACAATTACAATTAACCATGAGTGAAGAGCAATAAAGAGAAGTCAAGGAAGTTTACTATTTACTTGAATGGTAACTGCCGCAAGTCTACTTCTAGACCCAAAATCACCAAGTGGGTGGAAATGCTCTCTTTTTTGTACAAGAGACATTAGGGTGGGAGAATCAAACTCGATCCTTAGATGTAAGAGTGAATGCTCTTTCACATAATGCCAACGGAAATATTCCCATGCACATGTTTTTTCAGAGCGAACGCCGTTCTCTTTTTTCATTTGTTTTTTGTTTTTGTTTCCATGAATGCAAAAGCGACACGAAAAATGATCTCCAACTTTCCAAAGGGGTTCAAACCAAAATAAATGAATCGTCCTCAAACATGATGGTTGATATCACGTATGAATTTTCAAACATAACTAGGGTATACAACATGAAATGTCTTAAGCTGAGAATGAGTTTCGACCGATCGAAAACTAGGATCCTATTTGATGTGAGCGTACGCAATCAGGTAGCGTTCAATGTCAAAGGCAAATGAGTGATTTGTGAGACTGGAGCTATCTCTTTTTCTTTCCATGTTTCCCAGATTTGGCAGGTCCAGCACTTGACGTCGATGCCGCAGGCTCCTGCTTCCTAGTCCTCCCAGGATGTCTAGGAACCATCTCCGCAACTTTCAGCATCAGTTGTTTCCCTGCAATTTAGTCAAAACAAAACCGAATAATCAATATATACATGTACAAATCAAAAGACACACCAAAAACAAGGACAAATCTTTGTTTTATGTTTAATAACTAAATAGCGCAAACAGTTGAGTTCAAGAATGAGGCGACACCCTTCGTAGGGTTAACGACATAATCAGACAAAGGAATCCCTTGCAAGGGCTCACTAAAACAACTTCAAAAACACAGTCCATTTGTCTAAACTTAACCCTATTAATACATGAAATTCAAGAACCACGTTATTCTGACTTGAACTATCTTTGTAAAGGTTGACAATGTTAAACATCCGTTGTTCAAAGATGAGCACGGCAAAAAGTGGGTGTGCCCACAATGTTACAAACAAGGATCTCTATACCCCATATCTTATTCATTCCCCATTACCCACCCCAGCTCATAGCTTTAGTCACAGATTAGGAGACTATGATATAAGGTGAGAGTAAACTTGTGGGACTCTATAAAATTTTGTCGAAAAGGAGAAAAACAGCGAGACACTGCCAAATATGACAATAGTTTTTGCTTATATAGAGAGACTAATATAACCGGATACCCTTGCTACCATGTTAAGTTTTCTTTCAATAATTGAGATTCTCTCTACAATATTCCTTCTCACTATGGATTATAAGCAGTCAAGGAAAGACAAATGGGCTAGTCGAACACAATTATAACTATCTGCTCCTAAAATCTCGCATTAACTGATACATTACTTATGATGTTTCACCAAAAACAAATACTAAGATACTTTTGAGAAGGTTATAGAATTAAGGGTAAGTACAGTCACAATAAAGCAACGCTTACTGGAAGTAATGTCTGGATTATACGGAGTTCCATCTTCCCTTTTAAGCAAGACCCGCACTCTCCCAATTTGCATGAAATCGCGTGGATAAGCCTTATCTATCTACAATAGTCAAACACTCCGCATATATTAGCACAACTCACACCCATTACTACACAAACCTTACGATACAGATGGTGCAAATGTAGGAATAACAAACCTCAATTGCAAATGGGAGTTTGAAATAGGTGCAACAATCAGCAATCTCAGCACAAGTAGGACCTTCGCAAGCTTTCGCGATACTGATTCGTCTCCCTTCCGCCATAGTTTTCTTCGAGTTAATATAAACCGGATAAAGCACAATCCATTTCTTTATATTGGGGGTCTCCTTATCCATATCTCGCCTACTAAATATCCTACACAAAAAAAAAATTACAACACAAACCCATTACACTGCTTTCCTTCCTAAACACAAATGTACGAAAAATTAATGATAAATTAAATGGATTATGTGCACACATTCAATCAGTATGCTATAAGTAAGACGAAGATCAATCCCAATTCCCAATTCCAGCTAAAAACTCATTGGTTAAACATTTATAATTCAAAACCCCCAAAAAAACCAAAATAAATAAATAAAAGAAACAAGAAACACATATGTAAAATTGCACCATCATAAAGATCAATGAAGCCCTTAAATTTCAGTGACAGAAAGAAAATTCACGAGGGAATGAATCAAAGAACTAACCAGACAGAAAAGCAATTGAAAATTTGAGAAATTAGGGAAAAATCCAAAGAAATAATTCGAGCCAAATGAATCGAATGGAATGCGTGATCTGAAGAAATTACCAGAAGTTGAAAAACAAGCAGCGGAGGATTTGAAGAGCAAGCCGTGATATGCGAGAGATTGAGACTGGAATGGAGTTTCGACGACGACGACGGGACTGTCCGCAGAGATGGCCAATAATTCGGGCTTCTATGTCTCCTTCAATATTTCAGGCCCGTTTTTATTTATGGTTGGGCTTGGCCTTCATCGGTTAGCAAACCCGACTCACAAATGAAAATAAACAGGTAAGAGCATCTCCACCACCACCAGCCTTGCTAAGTGAGGATCTTTGGCTATTTTAACAAAAAAATGCACGAAAAAAAAAAAGGTTTCAACAGGCTAGTTAAATGATTAGCTATCTTAACTCTATGAATAGTAATCAGCTAGATTTAAGGAATGAGTCATGAAATTTCAATTTTCTCATTTTACACCATGAGTTATTTAAATTGGGTTTAATATTTTTGATTCGATTGATTGTTTGATCTTTCATTAAATTAATGACATAATGAGCGTGAGATTTTCATATGGATTCACGTGTAAGTTACATTTGCACTATGTTAACCATAAAGCTCAACAACTTAATCGAGAATTGAATTTTTTATTTTGGAAGAAGGAGAAGAAGAAGGAGAAATATATATTTAAATGGGCAAAAAGTGTAAGTTAGTGCAAGAATTTCTCCTACTTACAAGCCAAAATCGAATTGAACCGAATGAAATCGAATCTTCACATTTGTTGGATTGAGATGAGGCTTTGAAACAACAATCATTTGTCCAAATTAGTTCTATTCAACCGTTGTTGTTTATGAGATTTAATTATAAGATGTAAGAATTATTAAGAAATACATTTGATAAAGAGAATTGTTAATGGCACTTCAAAAATCTCGTTTTGCATTCCAAACTTTTTATAATTAAAAAAAAAAAAATACTTGTGAGAAGTGTAAAATAAGATTTATTAAACACTAATAACAATTCCCTTGATAAATTATAAAATGACAATGGAGTGCTACTAACCTATTACGTTAATGAAAAACGTTGATGTGCTCAACCACCAATGTGATTGAATAATTTTGACTCTGAATATAAATTTTATAATAAATTTCAAATGCATCAATGATTAGAAATTAATCGTACACACGTATCATTGTTAGGAAGAGGATCATCTCCTGAGCTTAGAATATGGATCTTCTTGACCAGTTTATTTGAACCGTTCAAATTTAATCCAACGGTTGTAATTATTATAACTTTTAGAGATCCTTTGTTTGAAACCGTTGAATTAAATTTGAACGGTGCGGATGGACTGGTCAGGAGGATTCCCAGGAGAGGATCCTCTTCTTCATTGTTGTTATCAAGAATCTTCCAAAGAACATGACAGAATCAGCCTAAAGTACCCGCTAAGCTTCCCATGCCTTGCCAACTACCACATGTAAGAACACGCGCCACACTCCATGCATTCTAACCACTCCACTGGCGCGTGCCTCTCGTGAACCATTTCCGCACGTGTGCCTTCACAATCTAATCCAAATGTAGCAGCACACTCATCATCGGCCCACCTGCCAACTGCGCAATTCCCATACCCAATAAAACATCATTTGCCACTCCCCTCCACCACACCCGACCCGACCCCGACCCGACTTCTCCGTCTCCGGCGACGCCAGCGTGATCCGACGAAACCCGACCCGATGGCCCGCAAGAAGATCAGAGAGTACGACTCCAAGAGGCTGCTCAAACAGCACCTGAAACGACTCGCCGGAATCGACCTCCAGATCAACTCAGCTCTGGTGACCGAGTCGACGGACTTCTCCGAGTTGTCGAACGAGCATACATGGCTGTCGTCTACGCGCCTCGTGGTGAAGCCCGCCATGCTGTTCGGGAAGCGCGGGAAGAGCGGCCTCGTCGCCCTGAACTTGGACATGGCTCAGGTTGCCGAGTTCGTCAAGCAGCGACTCGGTAAGGAGGTAATCGAATCCCATTTCGTATGATTTGAATCGTTTTTTGGAAACCCGAGATTTTGAGATTGGATTTTTGGATGTTTTGTTTAATGGGTTTTGTGTAAATTTTGGAAAAGGTTGAGATGGGAGGATGCAAGGCGCCGATTACGACGTTTATAGTGGAGCCGTTCATGCCCCATGATCAAGAATTTTACCTCTCGATTGTGTCCGAAAGGCTCGGATCAACCGTGAGCTTTTCGGAGTGTGGAGGGATCGAAATTGAAGAGAATTGGGACAAGGTATTGTCAATTTGTGTTTGTTTTGAGGGTTGGAATTAGGATGGCGTTTTCTGCTTGGTTTTAGGTGGTAATTTACTATGATGTTTGTTTTTGATGTTGTTGTGCAGGTTAAGACTATATTTCTTCCGACCGAGAAGCCTATGACGAATGATGCTTGTGCTCCACTGATTGCCACTCTTCCATTGGAGGTTTGTGTCATAGACTCATACTGTTCTTTTGTGTGCATTTCTATGTCAAGCTCGAACTTCAGTTCTCGCAAGTTAATGCGTTGTTCTAAGAATCAACATGAGCATATATGTTTAGGCTCGCAACATGGACTGTTCGAGTGTGAATACGAAACCAAACCACTGGAGAATAATATGTTTTACTTCTTGCACTATAACGTTATGATACAACTGTAGATTGAAGTCTGTTAGTGCAAAGGGAAACGGTTTATTTTGCTATATTTCTTGTGAATCCATTTGATTATCGTCATTTTATTACAACTGTGCTCTACGCATTAAACCTTTTTGTCGGTTTTAGGACATATGCTTAATGTATTATGCTGTTACAGGTCAGAGGCAAAATTGGAGATTTCATAAAGGGCGTATTTGCTGTATTCCAGGGTACGCAATGTCCTTAGATAGATTACTAAATGCTATAGTTCAGTGTAATACTGTGATTAGCTATGTAATTATTTGTTAGGTACATGCTCATGTTGCTGAGGTTGTTCGCATTCCTGATTTTCTTTTGCAGATTTGGATTTTAGTTTCCTGGAAATGAACCCGTTTACCTTTGTAGACGGTGAACCTTATCCACTAGATATGAGGGGGGAGCTAGATGACACTGCTGCCTTCAAGAACTTCAATAAGTATGTTTCTCTTGAAGATTTTCCAAACTTTAGTTCTACCTGTTTCTTGTTACTACTTTTAGTTTGATTCTGACGATATTTCTAAATACTATTCAGATGGGGCAATGTGGAGTTTCCATTGCCTTTCGGCAGAGTCTTAAGTCCTACAGAAACATTTATTCATTCTCTGGATGAAAAGGTAAAAACAGAACTGTTCCTTGTGTGGAAAGAAATTTATGATATATTTAATTTAGTATGAGGATCATGGCACTTTTTAAGAGTTTCTTAAACTAAAGTCCAACATATATGTTGCAGACAAGTGCATCCTTAAAATTCACTGTGTTGAACCCAAAAGGACGCATCTGGACCATGGTAGCTGGAGGCGGTGCAAGTGTTATTTATGCTGATACTGTGAGTAACCTGATCTATTACCGCCATATGGCTCTACTGTCCCTGTAGCAGCCCTTTCAAAACTTTGGATCTCCATTTTTGGCTTTAATTCATTGTGTCTCCCTTCTGTTTCTTTGAACATTTGGAACCCTTAACTCCACACCATGGCCTGTCCTAATGTTCCCGCATCTTTATGGGAATTAGGTTGGAGATTTGGGTTATGCTTCAGAACTTGGAAATTATGCAGAGTATAGTGGAGCTCCAAATGAGGGAGAGGTGTTGCAGTATGCAAGAGTTGTGATCGATGTAAGAAGCTTTCCTTTTTACGAAAAGCTCCTTCTTTCTCTCTCTCTCACTCTCACACACACCCTTCCACTCATATTTACTTTGTCTGACTACTCAAGTTGCAACCATTGCATGTAGCATACGCTAATTGCCAATAAAAATCTCTTGTATTGCAGTGTGCAACAGCTGATCCAGATGGTCGTAAAAGAGCACTCATAATTGGAGGTGGCATAGCTAATTTCACAGATGTAGCCGCTACATTCAATGGAATTATTAGAGCCCTCAGGGAGAAGGTACCACCACATTTTGACATTCATATCTAAACGAGAGATTGGCCTAATTGGTTTTATTTTGTTTTGTATGCTCAAATGATTTCTCTTTTGTGACATCAAAGGAATCCAAGCTAAAAGTGGCAAGAATGCATATTTTTGTGAGAAGGGGTGGTCCAAACTATCAAACTGGTTTGGCAAAGATGCGAGAATTGGGAGAAGAACTTGGAGTTCCTCTTGAGGTATGTGATGACATTCTGGTTTTGACATTTATCAGTTATTAACAAGCCTTACTCTGGAAGACCGTTAAATTCTTAAATTGCGTGCTCTCAACTGCAAGCCTGACATCGTTTCTCAATGCAGGTTTTTGGCCCTGAGGCAACAATGACAGGAATTTGCAAGCAAGCAATTGAGTGCATCATGGGTGAAGCTTAAGAATTTCTTATTTTGCAGACTTTTGAACGAGTTTTCGAGGCTCGAAGTGTGTGTTATGGTTTGGCCAAAAAGGCAAAAAGTGTGAATTGTGAGTTTTTTTTTTGTCTTGGCAAGATGAGACCACAGGACGACTTCAGTTTTCCAGTCTTTTCAACTTTTCTGACTTACTGTGATATACGAACCTTGTTTAAGTGTGTTCTTGGTTTTGAAAGTAAATGGTTGTATTTCAAGTTTAAACAAGTGACAGGTATAAGCAAACGAAAAAAATATAGAAATCTCCAAGGAATGAGGATTTTGTTGTGAAACGTTGTGAATGCTCATGTAATATGACTAAAGATGAAATGTAAGAAAGATCAAAACGGTAGCATAGATATATTATCTGATTTTATTACTGTTTTAAGGCATCGCTTCGATATGCATTAATTGGTACTGTAGATTTTTACACGTTAAGAGCTCTATATATTATCTGAATGCTCACGTAATATTACTGTTTTCTATGCTCATTTTCCCCGACTAACATGGTAAAGAAAAAAAAAAAAATCCATCCCTCCTATACCACTTCAATTTTTTCATAACAAAGTTTAGTAATTTTTAAGGCAGTGTTAACGAAACACTGTTTATTTTTAACGTTAAGGACATTTTAACTTAAAAAAGTCAATTTTGGTACTATTTACTCACGGCGCATTTTTATTCTTTTGATTAAAACTCAAAGTTTTCAAGTTATTTTTATTTGTTTTGCTAATTTTTAATGTTAGGAAGGATTATTATTTTTAAAGTACAACGAAAACATTTAAAAAAAAAAGTGAGAAGAAAAAAAAAGAAAAAAAAATCCCGAAAAACTTGTTGCAGAAGTGACGAGGCGTTGAAGCGTTTGGGGGATTTTTCCAGTTAGTTCGGTAGCGCGCACCAATCGATCAAAGCGTTGAGTGGTAAACTGGCAGGACCAAAGACTCACACAAAAGCTCTCGATACAAAGAAACAAAAATGGAGAGAAACTTTCCAAGCAAATCCTTGAAATCGAACGATCGAACGGCGCAGCAAATGTGCTTCGACTGCCTCCAACGCCGGATTCACTCCGACTTCTCCGGGAAACTCGTTTTCTCTTACGGCCTCTCCGATTCCGCCTTCCCTTTTGGCTCCTCCGCCGTCGTTCAGGTCAAAGTTCAAACCTTCTCACTCCTTCTCTTTCTTTCTCATCTCTGTGCATTTTGTATTTCAGAACGTTCAAATGCTGAAGCAGTTGGTGTTTGCAGTTGTGTAATTCAAGTGGGGAAGCTGCTTCGGCTCCTCAGTTTTTGCTCAAATTTCTACCCAGTCATCCAAATGATTGCTTGACTAAATATGTGTAAGACCCTTAATCTAACTCTAATTACTTATTTTTCTCACAAATTTCAGATTTTTTATTTTATTTTGATCAGTATGTAATAACCCCACATTGGTTATGTATAATATGAATCGAAATTTGAACATAATCGATGATTTTCTGTTGCTGAAATGATGGAGGATGAAGATCGATTCGGGTTTTGGTTTTTTGTTTTTTCCAGTAATGAATATGTCCTGGACAATGCTGAAGGCTGCAGTGATAATGGGATTGATGATAGGATTGCTTCAGTTGGAGTAACTCAGGATGAAGAAGAAATTAGTTCTGATGTTTACAGGAAAGAAAAACCAAAGTCAGATTCTTTAATGAATGAGCCTAAGTGTTTGTCAAATGGTGGCACAGAAATATTGCTACATAGTTCTACCTGTAATCATTCCACTAGGTTTTCTTGCTCGAGGCTTATCAGCGCATTGGCACCGGTTAGTTATGTTGGCAATTTCTCAGACTCAGTTTTTGAAGATCTTGCTGTTAACTCTTTGACCGGGTCTTTGGAAGATCACATATTGAACTCGCTTAGTCTCTTGATTGAAGGGAAAGCTTCAGGAAGAGACAGTGTAAATTTTCTTAACTTACTTGGGATACCGTCGTTTGATGAAAATCAGTTCCCTGGCTCCCTGAGGCATCCAAATATTGCTCCTGTACTTATGATGGTTAAAGCATCCCATTATATAGATGTAGCTCTTCCCAAAACTCCGTACACATTGGAAAACATTCTCCATTACAGTCCCGAAGCCTTAAAATCTGACTGGCATATAAGGTTTCTGATATACCAGTTGCTCTCAGCTCTAGCTTATATTCATGGTTTAGGGGTCGCCCATGGCAATATATGTCCATCCAGTGTAATGCTTACTGAATCATGCTGGTCTTGGCTGTCCATTTTTGATAACCCCTGGGTAGGATTTAGTTCAGGTTCAAGAGGTAAGGGATACACAAGTACCTTACTGGAAAAGGTAGGTTGCTCAGAAGCTGGTTGTCCCTCTCAAGGTCTTTATGCTGATTTGAAGCTTTCCCCATCTATAGACTGGCATCGTGACTTCAATCAATGGTGGAGAGGAGAGATCAGTAATTTTGAGTATCTACTCATCTTGAATAGATTAGCTGGGCGAAGGTGGGGTGACCACACATTTCATACAGTGATGCCTTGGGTAATAGATTTTAGCATGAAACCTGATGAGAATTCAGATGCAGGGTGGCGGGATTTAAACAAGAGTAAATGGAGGTTGGCTAAAGGTGATGAACAGTTGGACTTCACCTATTCAACATCGGAGTTCCCACATCACGTATCTGATGAATGTCTTTCTGAATTGGCTGTCTGCAGTTATAAAGCTAGGAGGTTACCTTTGAGTGTTCTACGTATGGCTGTTCGCTCAGTCTATGAACCTAATGAATATCCTTCTACCATGCAAAGACTTTATCAGTGGACCCCTGATGAGTGTATTCCGGAGTTTTACTGCAATCCTCAAATTTTTCATTCACTTCATGCTGGTATGACTGACTTGGCGGTACCTTTATGGGCAGATGGTCCTGAGGAATTCATTAAATTGCATCGTGATGCGTTAGAAAGCGAACGGGTCTCACGTGAACTCCATCACTGGATTGATATCACCTTTGGCTACAAGATGTCAGGCGAGGCAGCTGTTTATGCAAAGAATGTAATGCTTCCTTCATCAGAACCTATGATGCCGAGGTCTGCAGGACGCCGTCAGCTGTTCACTCAACCTCACCCTATGCGTCGAGGTGCAGTGCGGAAACCATGTGATAGCACCAATGAGTCAGCTTTGCATCAAGGGAAAATGAATGAATTAAGGAGTGACGGTTCTGTCCTATCTGAAACGGCTTACTTGCAAGAATTAGAAGATGCATCTTCCTTTTGTGAACATGCTATGCATTTAAGTCCCCTCTATGGCTACCATCTAGACTTTGTGAGGGACATTTCTCCTGTACAAGAGTCATCAGGCGAGAATGTTAACAAAAGTATACCTCGGTCATCTGACACTAAGAAAAACCAGTTGTCACGGTTACATATTGATACAAGTTATCTACTTGAGCATATTGAAGTGGAGGATGAAGGTTCCCGGGGATATCAAGAGCTATTACTTTGGAGGGAAAAATCATCTTGTTTAAAGACGTTCTCTGAAGAAATTGCAAGGGATATATTTTCTGTCGGTTGTCTCTTAGCAGAACTTCATTTGAGGAAGCCACTTTTTGACACAAGCTCATTGACCATGTACTTGGACAGTGGTGTATTACCTGGATTGATGCATGAACTTCCTCCTCACACCAAATTACTTGTTGAAGCTTGCATTCAAAAGGATTGCATGAGGTATTCGTTTTCATTTCTCAGTTTTTAAATACAATACTATATGTTATTCCCTTTCTCTCTCTCACTCTCTCTGTGGGTAACACAAATTAGGAGACCATCGGCTAAGTGTCTGTTGGAATCACCATATTTTCCTACTACGGTTAAGGCGTCCTACTTATTTCTGGCCCCTCTCCAGCTTCTGGCTAAAGGTGGATCCTGCCTTCAGTATGCTGCAAATTTTGCAAAGCAAGGAGTCCTCAAGGCAATGGGAACATTTGCTGCGGAAATGTGTGCTCCTTATTGCTTATCGTTTGTGGTGACTCCCTTATCAGATGCTGAAGCCGAATGGGCTTATATGCTACTGAAAGAATTTATCAAAAGTTTGACCCCTAAAGCAGTGAAGACATTAGTCTTGCCTGCCATCCAGAAGATTTTACAGGTTAGTTTTAAGATTTATTTTCTTCAGTTTTATTGGGAATATCTTCTTGAACTGTTTCTTATAGACATTTTGTTTCAGACTACAGGTTATTCACATCTAAAGGTTTCTATTCTACAAGACTCCTTTGTTCGAGAGATATGGAATCGAACTGGCAAACAAGTATATCTTGAAACTGTACATCCTCTTGTTATATTGAACTTATATACTGCCGCTCATAATAGTTCAGCAACTGCTGCTTCCGTACTGCTTATTTGCTCAAGTGAAGAACTCGGTATACCTATTACCATTCATCAGGTTAAACCAACCCAGAATTATTGCCTTTGTGACTTCACAAAATTAAAATTATGCGAATCTGTCTTAGAAATAGACAAACAAACACTCACAATACTCCAGCTAACCATTATTCTTTCACCAGACAATCTTGCCCCTGATTCAATGCTTTGGGAAAGGTCTCAGTAGTGATGGAATTGACGTGTTGGTTCGAATTGGTATTCTTGTTCAACGAATTTTGATGTGATTTTTTCTCGAATTGGTATGTTCTTCTTGTAATTCTTTTATGTCCTCAAATTCCAGGTGGTTTACTGGGAGAGAACTTCATTGTCAGACAGATGATGCCGTTGCTAAAACATGTGTTTCATTCCTGTATTGGCGTTTCACGTATGAATAAGCCTGAGCCTGTCCACAGCTGGAGTGCTTTTGCTCTTATTGATTGTTTGACGACAATAGATGGCCTTGTTGCATTTTTGCCAAGGGAGGTGGTTGCGAAGGAGCTAGTTGAAGTATGTGATTTTCTTTCCTTTTTAATTCAATGTGAAAACTAGCAGTGTTCTTGGAAATAATTGAATTTTTATATTATACAGGATAAAAGTTGCCCACAGGTTCTGGTTCTTATGGAGACAAGTTTTGAATATAGAGTGCTTCAGGTGATGCTTGTACATGCATTTACACTTGTTTCGGAAATCCAATGATTGTCACCCAGTTGCAAAGGCTGCAATTTCTCACATGCTAGCCATTGCGTTAGAATTTCCAGTAATGCTTTAATAACTCTCTTGTCCAGGTTGCTGCTACTACCCTAATGGCAGTTTGTGAACGGATAGGACCAGATTTGACAGCATTGCATGTTTTGCCACAACTTAAAGAGCTATTTGATGAGCTTGCTTTCTCACCGAGAAAAGCTAATGCTTCTACTTCCTTTGGCAGAAGGCTGAAGGGTTCAAAGCCAATAATTGATGGAGGGGGTCTGATTGAAAGTCGTATGGACCTTGCGTGAGTTCTTTTTACAGTTCATTGTCCCTGCTTAGTTACTAGGTTATGCTGGAATATAAATTTTGCACATGTTATTGCCTGCCTCAAATATGTGTTGAATTACTAGGTTGTTGGCAGGTTGCTTCTGTATCCGTCTTTTGCATACCTTCTTGGGATAGAGAAGCTTCGTCAGTGTTGTACAACATGGTTATTACTTGAGCAATATCTTCTACAATATCATAACTGGAAGGTACAGTAGTGTTTCTTTCACATGCTCTCTCTGTCTCTCTCAAAGACAGATACACACACACATGGACACAGATAAGTTATACGGGTACCTGACAAATATCCACACATTTTGCACTTCATATTCTGAACCTGTCGTGATTCAGTGGGAACACACAGGAGAATTGTCTCGAAGTGGTTCAGACACTATACTCAGTAAAAGATCTGCATTCAGCAATCGCTCAACTCCTGAATACAGTCCTGCTAAGCTGTTGCTTAATGGGGTTGGATGGTCAATTCCACAATCACAAGGAACTAGAGGTGCCAAAAACATGATGCCTCAAAAACGGTTCTCTGAAATGCATCAGAGGTCAGCTGAAATGCATGCATCAAATTTTAAATTCGAGCCCTGGTTTTGGTTCCCTAGTCCAGCTTCTAGTTGGGATGGGCCTGATTTTCTGGCCCGTGCTGGGGGTGTGAAGGATGAACATCCATGGAAGATCAGAGCATCTGTTATATACTCAGTTCGTGCGCACCCTGGGGCCTTAAGGTATTTAGCTGTCTGCCCAGATGAATGTACGGTTTTTACTGCAGGAATTGGTGCAGGGTTCAAAGGGACTGTTCAAAAATGGGAGCTGGCTAGAATCAATTGTGTATCGGGATACTATGGCCACGAGGAGGTTTGCTTATACCTTGTTAAATTGAAATCTTTTTTACTGTATTCCTAGTAATCACAATGATTATTATTTGTTGTTCCTAGGTTGTGAACGATATTTGTATCTTATCGTCTAGTGGAAGAGTTGCATCCTGTGATGGAACAATACATGTTTGGAATAGCCGAACTGGAAAATTAATTTCAGTATACTCTGAACCATCTGTGGATTCTGCACATGTTTCAAGCCCTCCATCTTCTTCCTCCAGGGCCAATCTTGACCAGGTTAATATGCTCAGTTCCAATGCACAGTCGAGTGGAATATTGACTGGGGCATTTGATGGGAGCTTGTATACTTGTATGCATCAGACAGAACTTGGTGAAAAGCTTGTAGTTGGCACTGGAAATGGTTCACTCAGGTAGATAAATAGTATTGCACATATATCCCCTTACAAACTGGTATAGATGAGATAATGTTTCACGCAGCTTCGGTTTTTTAATGTTCCTTGAATCTTACAGGTTCATTGATGTTGTCCGAGGACAAAAGCTTCACCTTTGGAGGGGGGATTCTACGGAGTCTGGATATCCTTCTCTTATTTCTTCCATATGCTCCTGTGGGTCTGATAAAATGCAACCGGATGGAGCTTCTTCACCCTCTTGGATTGCAGCTGGATTGAGTTCTGGTCATTGTAGATTATTTGATGCAAGGAGCGGAAATGTTATATCCTCTTGGAAGGCTCATGATGGATACGTGACAAAGGTATTACAGAAAAAGCCAGAGAAAATCTTCATTTTAAATCAAATTCATTTCTAATTTACCGTTTAACGGGTGCAGTTGGCTGCACCAGAGGACCATTTACTTGTGTCCAGCTCTCTTGACAAGTCTTTAAGAATTTGGGACTTGAGAAGGTAATTCCAGATCCAGACATTCTGTAACGAATACATATATATATCATTCTGAAATGCATCACACTATCCAGCTCTCTCTAAACTTGTCAACTCCTTATGCAGGAATTGGCCATCTCAGCCCACAATTCTTCAGGGTCACACAGACGGTGTATCTTCATTCTCTGTGTGGGGCCAAGACGTTATTTCAATTTCCAGAAATAAGATTGGAATTTCTTCTCTGTCTAAATCCTCCGATGATGTAAACGTCGCTGAACTTCTATCACCATTTCTCGCACATATATGATTTGCACTCGCTCACATTTTCTTTTTAAGACTAACAAATAGACGGGTGTGGTTATCATTTCGCAGGATGGACAGCAGGCTGTTACATGTCAAAAACTGTACATGGCGGATCACGGAGCAAGAAACTTTTCGGTGTTGTCAAGCATAAGTATTTTACCCTTCTCAAGGTTGTTCCTGGTTGGAACTGAAGATGGCTACCTAAGAATATGTTGCTGATGGGGGCTATTTGTTTCCTTTCAAATTCTGCTGTACATTCTGTATCCATTGTTTTTATTTAAATTTATTGATTTATTTATTTTTGTTGTCTTTTAAGTTTATATCCTTATTCGGTTATTCCTTAGGTTGAGACTGTTGAGTGAAGAAAGGGTGGGTTGCTCTAGATATTCTCATTGGAATGCATTGATTGTAGTTAGAAATAATTATTTGTATCAAATAATCGTGCAAATTTTTGTTTTACACTAAAGAATATATATGTAATGGGTATATAGAATGGACGGATCCGTGATATTACATTTTTTTTATGGGTATATAGAATGGACGGATCCGTGATATTACATTTTTTTTTCTTCACACATTTAGTAACACATGTTTTTGTGAATCTCACTTTGTAATGTATTTTAATGATTTAAGACTTCTGTTTTATATGTTTTCTCAAAAATCATGTCTATAAAATCATCAAAATCTGAAGCTATATGAATGTTGGATTAAGGGTTTAGGGTTCTTTATAGAATTGTATTCTTTCATTTTCTTCATTACAAATGAATGTCTTAATGATACTGGATTTGTTTCAATTTTTTTTGTAAGAATGATCTATGAATAATTTTCTAAAAAATAAACGGTTTGAATTGTTAAAGTACATTACAAAGTGAATCTCACAAAAACATGTGTAAAAAAGGTGGTGCCACACTGCCAAGGATCCGCGCCATATATAATATATGACAAAAAGTTTATGTTTTCACACTCTTTTTATTTTTCTTGATGAGTTACAGAATTGAGTTAAGCTAGTAGGTCAAGATAGTTTTGTCCAACTCAAAATATTCATTTATCCAAATATTACCGTTCGGTTATAGATCAATAATATTACGTGTTTTAACTTTCTCACGTTTGTTAGCAAAAGTGAAAAGAGTGTAGAAATATGATGATTAACCACTTTTACCCTTAACGTAAAAGTGAAAAGTCCGCTTAGCCCATCTAAAGCCCTTACCTTGTGACTTTCTGTGTCTCACTCTGCTCGTTTCCGGTGAGGAATGGCGCGGAGTGATTTAGACCTCGGCGCTCTAAGCGACGCGTTTAGCTCCGCTCAAATTTCCAAACACGAAGAACCGACTGGTCCGAGCCACACCAACGACGACGGCGATGCCGGTGGTTTGCAAGTCACGTGCTTCAGTGAGGTCGTCAACGAAACCGCCTTCCACCTCCAAATCATCCGCCTTCCCAAGCAGGTTCGTCTTCCATCCACATCTCTCCACTTGTTTGTTCAATTTAATGCTGAATTGAACTGCCCAAGTCAAAATTTGGGCAACAAAATTAGTTTATTTTTTTATTTTTTTTCCTTTTGCTTAGAAAAATGTAGGGTGAATTTTGAACAAATTATGAATTCGGTAAAAATTTCTCATTAATTGGACTGTAATTATATGCAAGGATTGATAGCAACTTTGCAAAATTGGTGTTGATTCTTTATTTTGTTTAGAAAAATCTAGATGATTATTTGCAGATGTGGTTAAATAATTTTCCGAAGTTTGAAACTTTGATCAACTTCTGAATTGGGTAAATCTTTTCCATTAATTTGAGTGTAGATATATGCATGGATCGGTTCGCAACTCTGCAAAAATTGGGGTTTTTTATTTCTGCTTAGAAAAATGTAGGCGATTATTTGCACGTGTTGTTAAATGATTCTCAGAAGTTTGAAACTCTGAACAAAATCTGAATTGGGTAAAAATTTCTGATCATTATGACTGTAGATCTATGCATGGATTGGTTGCAACTCTGCAAAAATTGGGCATTTGTATGCAGCAGCACCTATGAGACCTGTAAGTTGGTAATTTTGTGTTAAGTTTCTTCTAAAATTATTCTCTCTTTACGCTTGTGAATTCTGACTTCTTTGTGCTGCTTGGGATTACATTTTTTAACTACAATCATTACAATTGATGCCACAGAATACAGTGGGTGTTACATCCATACTTGGAGGGGCTTCTGATAATACAGGGTCGGGCATTGCTCGAAGATTAGGTAGATTATCAATTTTGTTCAGATAAGTTTGGGTCTGTCATCGTCTTTTTATTTTTGTAGTTTTTTTCCGTCTCCTCCATCGTCTGACATGCTGTTATTTTCAGTGTTAAAGACTGGACTTAACATAATCCTGGCTTGCAACATTCCTAAGAATAGTCCCATGCTTGAGGTCTGTACCCTCTGTCTTGAACACATGGAGAAACACACATGAACATAAGACTATCTGATGTCTTTTTCTTTGTCGTTTGCATATACGCAGGAATGGATTGTTCGTGTTTGCACATTTTGTTAGCTATTTTCACTGGATCATTTGCCCCTTCTTTTTGTGATTTCAGGCAGATGCTGAAAAATTGTTGGTTCAGAAGCTAATCAATCTTGGGTACACAAGGCCAAGGTCCGGAGGATTGTCGTCATAGCTGGGGACTTTTGATCCTGCTGGGTATGAGGAATGATTACTAAGTCTGGTTACCACTGTCAAGTGTCGTTGGAACCCTTACTAGTCTGATCATAGTCGTAAAGTTGACACTTTTCTCACGCTATGTTGTGCTTATGTGCGTATCAGTTGGGGGGCGACCAGTTCTGTCGGTTTTAGATTTTTTTTTTTATTGATTGCAAAGTATTTCCAGAAAGGAAGCCATAGTTTATGAGTTTCTGATGTTTATGATTAAGAAGAATCCAACTTCCAACCAGAGAATTGTACGTTTTCATTGCCAACTTTTTGTATTGTTGATTGTAGAAATTGATGACTTGCATGGTGATGGCGATGACGATGGCGATGGTTTATCTCGTACTCATTCTTTCTCACCCTATTCCTTCCACTACCAGAAATTTGGATTTAGATTACACTGGATAGGCATCCAGACTTATGTTACCGATGCCTTTTGAATTCATAATTTAGCTGATGCTGTGCAAGCAGCCCTCGTAGGAACAAGAGACGTGATGAGAAAGAAAGTGATAAGAAATCCACAGTCATCACGTCTCTTGTTCCTAGGTGAATCTCACTTTCTTTCCCATCCTCGTATGCTAAGTAATTAAACATGCCATTAATCCAATCCAATTTTAGATGTCAAATGAGGCGATAGGGAGGTTAGGGACAAATGCACTAACTAGAAAGATGCCATTAATTCTACCATTTGTCGGGATTGAAATTGATAAGTTTCTTTATTTTCAGAGGCAATGTAGGACATTAACGAAAGACATTCTCTATGTTTTGTAAGAAATGGAGACTACTTGTGATGCTCTTTTTTTTTTTTTTTTTTTGACACGATATGATAATCTACACTAAATTCATCTAAATTTCGGGAGGGAGATGAGGTTTTTGTTTGTAAAGAAAGAAGGATGAGCAACGGAGGGTGGTTAGCAAAAATACACTTAATATGAATTATATTGAATCACTCTCTTTCTTTATCGGTATTCAAAGTGTATGAAGTTATTCAGTAGTTTTCTTTATAATGAAATCGGAAAATGAAGAGATTGAATAACGAATTTATTAAATTTAATACATTATAGAGAGACGAAAAGACATATTTCGTCCAACATGCAGCAAGCTCATTGCATGCTCGTACTCCCTTCTCTAATGACATTATATATAGGTTACCTCCTCTAATGACATTATATAGGTTAGCCTCTACATTTGTTAATCCATTTCAATTTTATTGCCATGTCTTGTTATTCCTTTCAACAAAATGGTTAGATATTCATATTCAACTCCAACTCATTACGCTCTAAAACTTGGGTCGTTTTCATTGCTTAACAAATCTTCGGCGGACAAATACGAGACGGGAGAATTTGACGCTGAAGGATACAAATGGTTAAACCCTCATTATATCTTCTGCTAGCGTTTGAGTTTAAGAACATCTTCTGCAAACTTATGTTTCAATTTCACTGTTTGGCATTAGTTCTATGACATTTTTTTGGTAATGCAAGAATGTGGTTTTTATATTACGTGCTGTGTAAGCTGATAATTTTTTTTTGCCATACTGTGTGTTTCCTCACAGGAAACTAGTGCTCTACCCGAACGGAAACAAGAAGAAAAATGCGGAAGGCTACATCTCTGTTTACTTGGAAATGGTTGGAGCTGATTCTCTTCAGACTGTATGCGAAGTTTATGTTGATTTCAGGCTCTTTTTGCTTGATCTGAATAAAGGCATGTTCCTGGTTCTTCAAGGTACATTATATCTACTTCAAAACCTAATTCCCATCAAGTGATCATATTCTTTGACAAAGAAAAAAAAAAAGAAAACAAAGAAAAATCAAGTGATCATATTCATAGACCCGAAATTTTTCTTGTTAAATTGCAATGCTCTCTACTCATTTCCTGATCATTATTTTTTTTCTTTTCATGTTCCATAGATGCCAATAAAAAGGAAAAATGCTTCCATGGGATGATGATGCGTTATTCGGGATTTGATAAGCTTATCTTTTATCATTTACCGATGCTTCCAACGGTTATGTCATTAATGATTCCTGCGTGATTTGTGCTGAGGTCTTTGTTTGCAAAGAAAAAAGAGATGGCAAAGTAGAGTCTATATCGACGATCAAGGATGCTGTCATCTACAAGCATGTTTGGAAGGTTGAGAACTTTTCAAAGTTAGGTGATGACCTCTACAAATCAGAACCCTTCACTGTCGGAGAACGGAAATAGTATCTCTGCCTGGACTTTTATATTAATACCTTAAGATATATTCAAAATTTTAATCCACTATATAATCTCTTATCGCTCATCTTGTTGCAGGAAGATAGTGCTCTATCCCAAGGCAAAATGGCGCTGGATTGGGTACTCATATTTCTCTTCACTTGGAATTGGATGATCCGGAAAAATATCCTGGTTGCAAAGTGTTTGCAGAGTTTTCCCTGCGCATTGTCGATCAAATGCATGCCAAACATGAGAGCTTTAAAGGTAAAGATTGACCTATTTTAGCGTTTACTTTGTTCATCCTTTATAACATGTGGGTTTATTCTGTGCAGCTAATATCGTTCAGCTCCTCGACTACCAGTTGGGGTTGGCCTTAGCTTTATTTCACTGGACACTCTCGATAATTCGGATGGAGGGTTTTCGGTGAAGGATTCTTGCATAACGGAGGCCGTTGTCACAATCCGTGGAACAGCAACAGCACTGTAGTCGGCACGTCGTACGTTAATTTTGCTATTTCTAAAATGATGTTACGAATGAAGGGACAAATGTTTGATTTGCTAAAAAGATGTTTTGATTAAAGGCCATGTTAGTCCATGAAATTGTAAAAGCACATGTCTAGATGTGGCTTATCAAACCCCAGTTCTGAAGTCCTTGTTCACCAAATGACTTGTTATTGAAGAGTATTTTAATTACTTTTGTGAAATGAAAGGCCCATTTTCTTCTTTTAAGAGTGTTGAATATAACAAAAACAAAAATAAAACATCTGTCACTCAGTAGCATCTTAGTGTTTAGCATAAAAAAACTTGAGTAATGATAGGTAGACTAAATTTACAAACTAAATGATGTGTATAAAACCGTTGTTTTAATTAAAGTAGGATGTTCATGTCTTGAAATGTAATCTTATTCTTCATGTGATGGCTGTTGCAGGAAGCTACTGCTCTATCCTAAGGGAAATCAGAAAGGAAAGGGTACTCATATTTCTATCTCCACTCGGAATTGGATGATCTAAAGGAACCGGTTAAAACCCTCTCTCTTCTCTTATAAAAGTGGCTTGGGCCATCTTTCGTGGAAATCTGTTAAAACAACTTGAGGGTGATTGTTATTTTGGCCCGTTGAACAATTAGGCTTATTAAATCTTCTACACAGGTTCATTGACTCTTAGGTTCAAATTTTCGGGAATTTAATTTATTTATTTTATTAATCTTAGAGTTACAAAGTTTGATTTTTCATAATTAGTCATTAAAAATCCGTATTGGGTCACTCTTAGTGTTTTCGAATAGAGCTTGATCCTACAAACGCGTAAGCAAAAACTGTGTGCAAATCAGATTTATTGAAATGTAATTTATTGTTGATTGTGAGTTGTTTGGTAGTTGTCTAGAATGCTATGTCTCCTTACTAGATAATGCCATGAGAATTTTTGGAAGTCATTGCAAATACAACTTTTTGTAGATTAACAAAATGGTGACTACAATTGGCTTAATCCCTTCACAGGGTACATTGGCAGTCTAACCCTATGATTAGGTGTAGCTGTAAACACGAAAATTCTGTAACGAATGAAACGAGAACATATGTACAAAGTAGATTTGTATTTATTTGAATTTGTAGGTTACAATCTATGTTTACAATTTTCCTCTGATTCAGTCTTCAAATTTGATGTAGATGCGTAAGTTGCTGATCCAAGGGTCGCGATGACTTGATCTCAGACGAACAATAGAACAATTACTTCAAGTTTTGAGCTTGAAACAATGCGTGGATAGTCTTCACCTCAAAGTTGCTGCAAATGTGGAGTTGATGTAGGACTTCGTTGATTCAAGGGCCTTGACAACTTGATCTTGAATCAAACGTCGTTACAAGTTTTGAACTTGCAATAAAGTTTTGAAAGAATCTGTCACATCCCGGCTCGCTCCACCACCTTAGCACGATATTGTTCGCTTTGGGCCCCGACTATGCCCTCACGGATTTGTTTCTGGGAACTCACACGAGAAGTTCCCGATGGGTCACCCATCCTGGGAATGCTCTCGCTCGCTACTCGCTTAACTTCGGAGTTCCTACGGAACCCGAAGCCAGTGAGCTCCCAAAAGGCCTCGTGCTAGGTAGAGATGGGAATATACATATAAGGATCACTCCCTTGGGCGATGTGGGATGTCACAATCCACCCCCCTTAGGGGCTCGACGTCCTCGTTGGCACACCACGGCTAGGGTTAGGCTCTGATACCAAATTGTCACATCCTGGCCCGGGGGGGACAACTTCCCGGCCCGCTCCACCACCGTAGCACGATATTGTCCGCTTTGGGCCTTGACTATGCCCTCATGGTTTTGTTTCTGGGAACTCACACGAGAACTTCCCGATGGGTCACCCATCCTGGGAATGCTCTCGCGTGCTACTCGCTTAACTTCGGAGTTCCTACGGATACCAAATTGTCACATCTCGGCCCGGGGTCCACCACATCCCAGGCCCGCTCCACCACCGTAGCACGATATTGTCCGCTTTGGGCCCCGAACACGCCCTCACGGTTTTGTTGCTAGGAACTCACACGAGAACTTCCCAGTGGGTCACCCATCCTGGGATTGCTCTCACGCGCTACTCGCTTAACTTCGAAGTTCCGATGGAACCCGAAGCCAGTGAGCTCCCAAAAGGCCTCGTGCTAGGTAGAGATGAGAATATACATATAAGGATCACTCTCCTGGGCGATGTGGGATGTCACAGAATCGGCATAAGTGCTTGTTGATTCTTCAAGGGAATGCTTCGGCTTTGGTTGAAAGAAAGCTTCGACTTTGGTTGTGCATTCTTTGAAGAGAGCTTTGACAACGTATTAGTCTTCAAAGACTTGGCAGAGGTTCTTCTCAATGTGAGAATTTCGGCCCTTTAATGTAGAAATTGTCGACCTTGAATGTAGAAATTGTCCACCTTATGTTTGTCTGAGGACCTTGTATTTATAGACGTCCAAAGCCATGCCTTTAGGTGGATTTGGCTTTGATTTGTGTCTTGATTCATCCATGGGAGAATTTACCATGTTTTGTGTTTTGTTTTCAACCACTTTCCCTTACTTGGCCGAAATCTATAGGGCTTGTTGTCTATTTTGTGAGCAATCTTCAATTCTTGCTTGTTTTATGAATATGTTTTAGCTTTCTTTCCGGTTTTGGGAGCAATTTGGGCCTCTTGCCAATTTTAAGGAGAGATTCCCCCCTTTTGCCGAATTTCGGGGAAGTTTTGAGCTTCCTTTGCTTGATTTGTGCCACATGTTATTGATGACTTGTCTATTTGTGATGAGTCATATGCTACGTGGAGCTTTGTGATGCATCATTTGTATGCAATGAAATTTACATGTCTACAATAGCCACAAAATAAAATAAAATGTTTTTACGCTGTTGAATTATTAGTTTATTTTTATCATGTCTCGAGATCAAAGTGTGACAACTTTAATAGTATCAGAACTTAAGTGCTAAGTTCTCGTACCTCTACCCTAAGGTGACAACTATGAGTTAAAGAAAAAAAAAAAAAAGAAGGCAGAAAAGCAAAAAGAAAAAGTTGACAACAAAGCAAAAAGAGAAAGTTAAAGAGAAGAAGAAAAAGTTGAAGTTGGCTTCCAATATTTCTCAATAGGGATGAGGATTCTCTCCGAATCCTTTTTACGAAGATCTTAGAGATTTTCAAGTCTTTTTAGTTCATTATACATCCTGCGGTCTGTTATCGTTAGCTACTATTTGTGTTTAATTTTATATAAAAAAAATTTAAAATGATTTCTGACCGCACGATGTACGATGAATGGATAGGAATCCTCACAAAGAGGATCCAGATGAGATTCAAATCCTCTAAATGGAGCTGCAAACCAGTCCCTAAATCTATTATCGCAACAGCACTGAGAAGAACCTTTTCATATTCTTCTAGAAAACTGGCTCAGTGCCTCGGGTTCAAGTTCTGTTGCTTATTCAAAGTTACAAATTTTCATTTTAATGGAATTCGAAGAAAGACCTTTGTGTGGTTTGAAGATTAAAGTATACTCGTATTCCTTTATACAATCTTTTCACATTCAAATGTACCAAATCCAAGGTATCCAGTGTATGAAGCTATTGAGTACAGTATAGAGAGATGAAAGGACACATATCGTCCAATCTGCAGCAAGCTCGTCGGATGGTGAGATTTTTGAAACATGGAGTGGTACGTCACATATCATCATACAATTGGAGAGAAGTTTTTTTTTTTTTTTTTTTTTTTTTTTTAAGTGTAATGACATGTGGCATACCACACTATTCGGGGCACACTGAAATTTTTTTCATTGGATGCTTGTACTTCCTTCTCTAATGGCATTATATATATAGGTAAGCTCCTCTTGAAGCAAAAGATAACTGTTTAGCCTTAACAGTTTGTTAATCAATTCCAATTCTATTGCCATGGCTTGTAATCCCTTTCGACAAAATGGTTAGATACCTTATCTGCTTTATATTAGCGGTTTTCAGATTTCAGGATATTGTTATGTGCCAGAGATGCCTGATATACACTTTCATCAACACTATTTTCTTTCAGGGTTTTCAACATCATATTCAGATTCAGCTCCAACTCATTACACTCTAAAAATCGGGTCATTTTCATGGCTAACCGAAATTTTTGCGGACAAATATGAGTCGGGTGGATTTGAAGCTGGAGGATACAAATGGTAACTCTCCAATTATATCATCTGCTAAAGTTTTAGTTTAATATCATCTTGTTCAAACTTATGTTTCACACTCACTGTCAGACATTAGTTCTATGACATTTTCTCTGTAATGCAATGATGTGTTTTCGTGTATCATGTGCTGTGTAAGCTGGTTAAAATAAAAATGTTAGCCATACGCCCCATACTGTATGTTTGCTCCCAGGAAACTAGTGCTCTACCCGAATGGGAACAAGAAGAAAAATGTGGAAGGCCACATCTCTGTTTACTTGGAAATGGTTGGAGCTGATTCACTTCAGACGGGATGCGAAGTATATGTTGATTTCAGGTTCTTTTTGCTTGATCAGAATAAAGGCACGTTCCTGGTTCTTCAAGGTACATTATACCAACTTAAAAAGTTAATTCTCATCAGGTGAACATGTTCATAGACTGGAAAATTTTCTTGTTTGCAAATTGCAATGCTCACTGCTCATTTGCTGATATTATTTTTTACCCTACATCTTCCATAGATGCCAATAAAAAGGAACTATGTTTCCATGGGATGATGCGTTATTTGGGATTTGATAAGCTTATCACTCTTAAATCGTTTACTGATGCTTCCAATGGATATGTCATTGATGATTCCTGTGTGATTGGAGCTGAGGTCTTTGTTTGTAATGAAAGAAGAGCTGGCAAAGGAGAGTCAATATCGATGATCGAGGTTGGTGTTATGTGCAAGCATGTTTGGAAGGTTGAGAACTTTTCAAGGTTAAGTGCTGACTGCTGCGAATCAGAACCATTCCCTGCTGGAGAACGAAAATGGTATCTCTTCTAGGCCCTTTATATTATGCCCTTAATAAGAGCATTTTTAAATTTTAAATTTTTAATCCACAGTATAATCTCGTATCACTCATCTTGTTTCACCTGCATGATAGTAGAGAGTACTAATCACCCTTGTTAGCTAAAGTCAATTTTCCTCCAAACAAAAGCATATGGTTTTTGAGTTTCAAACTATATATGCAATTTTAACTACACAACTTTCGCACTAGATGTGGTCGATCACTGTAAAACATGTTGAATTTTTGCTTCCAATGTAGGGCTTTGCTCTTTTAATTCAAACCCAAAGAGGTGAGGTGAATAGGGTCCCATTCCAATTAACGAGAGATACGTAATAAAAAGTCATCATATTCTTCCCAATGTTGCAGGAAGATACTGCTCTATCCCAAGGGAAATGGCGATGGAAAGGGTACTCATATTTCTCTTTTCTTGGAATTGGATGATCCGGAAAAAGTTCCTGGTTTCAAAGTATTTGCAGAGTTTTCCCTGCGCATTGTAGATCAAATGCATGCCAAACATGAGTGGTTTATAGGTAAAGATTGTCCTATTTCAGTGTTTAATTGTATGAATCGTTCATAACATCAGGGTGTATTATGTGCAGCTGACAACTGGTTCAGTAACTCAACTTGGGATTGGGGTTGGTCTATGTTCCTTAAACTGGAAACCTTCAATCAGGCACACAAGAGGTTTCTGTTGAACGATACTTGCATAGTGGAGGCAAAGGTCACTATCCATGGAATTGCGTAAGGACTATTGTCAGCTGGTATTTGGTTTCGGATATTGTGAAAATGATGTTAATTGACTTGTGAATATGAATGTAGTTCTGGATCCGCGATATGGTTTGTCCTAAAAGTGGCGTTCTGTAGACCCCTAGAGCTGCAATCCTTTCCACCAAATGACTTGTGATTGAAGTGTATCTTGATAGGACCTGTTTTCTTAAAAAATCTGTCCTCTGAGACATATGTCGAGTCTTGACCAGTTATTTTAAAGTAGCTTATCTTGTGTTTAGCTAAAAACTTTGTTTGGTTAGTCTAACCTTAACTTGTTTGACAATGCTACACCGTAAACACTGTTCCTTTGCATAAGAATTAAAATTGCAGAATGTGTTTCAAAGCACCCACAAGCAGGTGACAGATACCTTTTCAACGAAACAAAGGCAACCTTTTTGAAGCAAAGCATAACAATTCAATCTTTAAAACGTTTCATGTTAGGAATAACACCTTTAACTTTTTCTTATAAAAGCGGGAAAACATATTTGATTCTAGAACTGAAAACCGGTTGATTTCTCTGTAATCGATTACCGGAAAATTTAAGTTTATTGACATGACCAGTCTTAACTTCGATGACCAAGATGGTAAGATGCATTATCTGTTTGCCTGGGTGTGTTGGAGTTGAAAGCAGTAACTAATGTACACATTTATTTCAGGGATTTTGAGAACAATTTCGGATGCACCACCAACTCATTACACAGTAAAATCCAGTTGGTTTCATTGCTCTGCAAAAATTCACAGGAGAAATATGAATCCAGGGACTTTAAAGCCGGAGGATACAAATGGTACAATCCTTTCTCTCAGTTTCTAAGAACAAATTCTTACTGTTTCTTTTTTCATGAACTTTCCATCAATTACTAGCATTTTCTTCTTATTTTCGAGCTGCTTAATTTATAATAGTATAATTTGTTGTTTTGCTGCAGGAAACTGGTTTTCTATCCAAACGGAAACAAGAACATGAATGTGAAAGAACCTCTCTCTACTTGGTAATGCCAGGAACAAATGCCCCCCAGATTTCTTCGGAAGTGTATGCTGTTTTCAGGTTGTTTTTGCTTGATCAGAACAACAGCCACTACTTTGTTTTTCAAGGTACTATTTCTTTCATTCAATCCAAACAATCAACAAACTTATAGTTCTCATATTTGCGAAGCATTGTCTCATTTTCTTGTATGTTTTCCCCGTGCATTGCTAAGAACAAAAGGAAAGGCGCTTTCATGGGATGATACTCGATTGGGGGTTCGATCAATTTCTCTCCCACAAAGGTTTCACTGAAGCTTCCAATGGATTCTTCATTGATGACACCTGTGTGTTCAGAGGGGAGGTCTTTGTTTCTAAAGACGAAGCACAGGCAAAGGACAATGTCTATCAATGTGGTAAAGGATCCTGTTATGTACAAGAATACTTGTAGGATTGACAACTTCTCAAAGCTAGACGCCTAATCCTACGACTCAAAAGTAATTATTGCCGGAGACCTGAAATGGTATACGTTGATGGTACTGCATGACACGCCCCGACCCCGATATTCCCCGAATACCAGGATAGGCACGTGCTGGCGGACACCCGAGGGTGACGAAAGCCATTTATTGAGTGCAAATGCTGAAAACAAAGGATATATAAGGCTTATAAATATAAAAGAATAATTAATATTCAAATAAGGACCGTGTTCAGAGCACACCACTAATCTAGAACACTAAAAGAAAATAATATAAAATTGAATGAACAAAGGAGTGAGTCCTACACCGAGAGGACTCGAAGATGCCGATGCGGAAGTGCCTGGACGTCGGGATTGTATGCCTCGATTCTAAGTCTTGAAGGGGCGCAAAACAAACATGAGTGGACCAAGTTGATATATATATAACAAAACAGTTATCAACTTACTAACCCCCAAGTTTTATGAAAACACAAATATAATGATAAACATAGGTTTTCCGAAACCTAGCATGTCATGCAATATCTCAAATCATAACATGTAAATATCATAAACACTAGTGAATGTCCGATACAACTCTCCAGGCCCCATGCCGGCTCCCCGTCTCTGAGCACACAGTCAGAGGAAAATACACTTCAGGCCCCACGCCGGCTCCCCGTCTCTGAGCACACAGTCAGAGGAAAACACACTCCAGGCCCTATGCCAACACCAAACCGTCGCCCGGGACGGACCGGATCTATCCCTACGTCCCGTAGCGGAAATGACCACTAGGTAAGTACAAAACCAGTGAACATACATATATTTGAAAATCAACTTCATAGTATAAAGTCATCCATCATCTATACTATAAAGAGGTGTTCTAAACATGTTCTAAATATCATATCGTCATCCATCAGATATTCTACAAGAACATGGGTTATAGGAAAAATAGTAATAATTCAAACTAGCCTCAGTAAGTATGTTATCTCGTAAAACGTTTCATAAAACATACTCATCAAATCATGCTTTTCATGTATGCATTTCTACTATCAAAACATGCATTTTTAGAAGGGGTCCACTCACGGTACTTCGCCGCCGAAAAGCCACACCACTAGCGAAGACGGAAACGCCACAAATAATTGTCCCTAAGCACACAAATGGTACATTTAGTCAAACTCTACTCAAACGATTGAATTTGGGAAAACGGACATCGGAAACGGGTTCAGAACGTCGAAATTAGCCTAGGAGGGGTCCCGCACGAAAACCTAAAAAGTCAACGGTTGACTTTGACCGTTGACTTTTTAGGTTTTCGTGCGGGACCCCTCCTAGGCTAATTTCGACGTTCTGAACCCGTTTCCGATGTCCTTTTTCCCAAATTCAATCGTTTGAGTAGAGTTTGACTAAATGTACCATTTGTGTGCTTAGGGGCAATTATTTGTGGCGTTTCCGTCTTCGCTAGTGGTGTGGCTTTTCGGCGGCGAAGTACCGTGAGTGGACCCCTTCTAAAAATGCATGTTTTGATAGTAGAAATGCATACATGAAAAGCATGATTTGATGAGTATGTTTTATGAAACGTTTTACGAGATAACATACTTACTGAGGCTAGTTTGAATTATTACTATTTTTCCTATAACCCATGTTCTTGTAGAATATCTGATGGATGACGATATGATATTTAGAACATGTTTAGAACACCTCTTTATAGTATAGATGATGGATGACTTTATACTATGAAGTTGATTTTCAAATATATGTATGTTCACTGGTTTTGTACTTACCTAGTGGTCATTTCCGCTACGGGACGTATGGATAGATCCGGTCCGTCCCGGGCGACGGTTTGGTGTTGGCATAGGGCCTGGAGTGTGTTTTCCTCTGACTGTGTGCTCAGAGACGGGGAGCCGGCATGGGGCCTGAAGTGTATTTTCCTCTGACTGTGTGCTCAGAGACGGGGAGCCGGCATGGGGCCTGGAGAGTTGTATCGGACATTCACTAGTGTTTATGATATTTACATGTTATGATTTGAGATATTGCACGACATGCTAGGTTTCGGAAAACCTATGTTTATCATTATATTTGTGTTTTCATAAAACCTGGGGGTTAGTACGTTGATAACTGTTTTGTTATATATATATATATATATATATCAACTTGGTCCACTCATGTTTGTTTTGCGCCCCCTTCAGGACTTAGAATCGAGGCATACAATCCCGACGTCCAGGCACTTCCGCATCGGCATCTTCGAGTCCTCTCGGTGTAGGACTCACTCCTTTGTTCATTCAATTTTATATTATTTTCTTTTAGTGTTCTAGATTAGTGGTGTGCTCTGAACACGGTCCTTATTTGAATATTAATTATTCTTTTATATTTATAAGCCTTATATATCCTTTGTTTTCAGCATTTGCACTCAATAAATGGCTTTCGTCACCCTCGGGTGTCCGCCAGCACGTGCCTATCCTGGTATTCGGGGAATATCGGGGTCGGGGCGTGTCAGATTGGTATCAGAGCCTAACCCTGGTCGTGGTGTGCCGACGAGGACGTCGGGCCCCTAAGGGGGGTGGATTGTGACATCCCACATCACCCAGGGGAGTGATCCTTATATATATATTCTCATCCCTACCTAGCACGAGGCCTTTTGGGAGCTCACTGGCTTCGGGTTCCATGGGAACTCCGAAGTTAAGCGAGTAGCGCACGAGAGCATTCTCAGGATGGGTGACCCATTGGGAAGTTCTCGTGTGAGTTCCTAGAAACAAAACCGTGAGGGTGTGGTCGGGGCCCAAAGCGGACAATATCGTGCTACGGTGGTGGAGCGGGCCTGGGAAGTGGTCCCCTACCGGGTCGGGATGTGACACTGCACAAATTCAAAACAAAGAACGAGGTTACCAGGAAAACTAATATTGCAGACTTCTCTTGGGTTGAGTCGTGGACAATGTCGCTTTCTTTAAGATGTTTCGCGGCTCTGCCCAAGTTGTGCAAGCAGTCAAAAGTTCCACGACGTTCTCAGGATAAAACAGCCCAGAAAACACCTCTGTATAGACCTTCCTTTGCACTAAGGAAGATCCAAAGCTTTCACCACTCTTATACTCAAAGTTCTTCTAGTTTTTCTTAGTTTTTCTTAGTTTTTCTCAGTGTATTTTTTACGTAGCAGAAAGCCCTAGTATTTATACACAATTGCAAGACTTTAACATTGAAGTAGTTGAGCAAATCATGCCCAAAAAATCCGGCCACAAAACAAGGGAGTAAAGCCACTTTGTTGAGAAAGAATAGGTCTCCCAAATCAAAATAAAACCTTGCAGTTTAAGAAAAGATTTTCTCCATAAAAATAGGAAACCAAACTTAATCAGAAAACTAACTCCAATAAATTTAAATAAACATAATATCCCAACAATCCCCCACTTGGTTATTTAAAGCTTGCTCCTTGAGTATATCATCATAGAGTTGTGCATAAATAATGGTGTTATGTCACTTGAACCGTTACATAGTGCCTAAGCTTTAGATCAACATGAGCAACACTTAGTTTTGAACAAGGCACACATAACCTTTCTTGGGTGAAGCTCGAAGCCAGCATGATTTGGCCATGTGCTTGTATCCCAGTTTAGTGACAGTGCTAGAAGTTAGCCCCATAACTTCATAGTAGGCGGCCTCACCTTCACCATCACAAAGGTGAAACTATCAAAGATACTCCTATAGCTAGGTATCTCACTCAACTAGAGTCTAGTTTTCATTAAGAGTATTATAACTCATCCTTTACATACGCTACAGGATTTCATCCCTCCATTTGAGTTTAACGACAACTTCTGTAAGAAGTAGGGCATGAATCCATATCACTCCATGACTTGTTATTACCTATTGAACCAATTTATTGGGATCTCCAGTCCAACGGTTAGGTTACCATCAAAAGTGACTCAACTTAACAAGGGCTTTAACCCCATTCCATTAGAGGGTTTCCGAACTTTCTCTCATGCTAATCCTTTCGTCAAAGGATTAGCCACGTTGTCTTCAAACCTTACATGGTCTATTCTGACAGTTCTTGTGGAAAGAAACCCTTTCATTGTGCTCTGCTTTCGACGAATATGAAGTTTCTTCCCATTATCATATCGATTTTCAACCTTTGCAATCGCTGCTTTACTATCACAGTAAATAAGCACTGCATGCAGTGGTTTTTCCCACAAAGGAATGTCATACAAGAGATCTCAACCATCCTGCTTCTTCACTAGCTATTGCTCGTGCTATTGTTTCAGATTCCATCATTGACTGAGCAAGAATGATCTGTTTCTTAAACTTCCACAAGACTGTACCCCCAACTATGTTAAAAACATAGCCACTCGTGGCTTTAGAGTCTTCTGAAGTGTATTCTAGTCAGCGTCGCTATATCCTTCAAAGACAGCGGGAAACTTTTCATAGCATGGACCAAAGTTGATGGTCTTCCTAAGGTATCTCATTTCCCTTTCAATAGCATGCCAGTGCTCAATGCTTGGATTGCTCATGAACCTACACAAGATCCCCATTGCATAGGCTATGTCTGGCCTAGTGCAATCAGTTGCATACCTTAGACTTCCTATGATGCTTGCATAGTCAGTTTGTCTAACACTGTCTCCAGTGTTCTTGAATAATTTCACACTAGGATCATACGACGTACATGCAGGCTTACAATCAAAATAGCTAAATCTTTTTAGAATTTTCT